TATTTTATTTTTTGAGATGGTATCTCGCTCTGTCACCCAGGCAGGAGTGCAGTGGCACGATCTTGGCTCACTACAACCTCTACTTCCTGGGTTCAAGCAATTCTCCTGCCTCAGCCTCCCGAGTAGCTGGGATTACAGGTGCCTGCCACCATGCCCAGCTAATTTTGTATTTTTCAGTAGAGATGGCGTTTCACCCTGTTGGCCAGGCTGATCTTGAACTCCTGACCTCAGGTGATCCAAGCACTGGGATTACAGGTGTGAGCCACCACCCCCAGCCCACAACCTGCTTTTATATTCATGCTTGCCTTTCTTTTTTTGGTCTACAAATTATACAGAGTAGTTATGAAAATCGTAATGAGTACAGAAGTATAGTCATTGTTCTCCTTGACTTTTCTTCCTTTTCCATTTTTCTTCTCTACTCTGGGCAATGCTGTGCTCACATTGCATTATCTCTTTCAAGCATTCTCTAATACCATTCCTCAAACCACCTGTAACACACACACATCAGTGGAGTTAATCATGATCTCTATACACCCTCAGTCTTACATGTTGGTAATGTATGTTTCACACTGAATTTTTTTCTTCTTCTGTTATTAAAGTAATATACTCACTGTAACAAAAAGATATAATCTGGTCCCTGCAAATAACCTCTATTAGTAATTCAGTTTTTATTTTTTCAATTTTTCTGTATTTATGAAACATATATATATACATTTAATATGTATAAATATATTTAGTTTTGTTTTATTTTATGAAAAATTGATTATATATATTCCATATCTTGCTTTCTTCAATTAATATGCCATGAATATCATTTCTAATCAGCATATGCATTTCAATCTCTTTAATGACTGCATAGTATTTTATACTATACTATATATTCATTATAATTTAAGATTTCTAATTGGTAGGCATGTAGCTTCTCTCCTGCTTTTTGCTAATAAAAAACTGTCAGGTCTCCATATGCAAGCCTGGAGCCTGAAAGTCTGAAGTCCTCTTGCCTGGGCTGATCGTGGGTCTCCCACCCCAGTCCTGCATTCACCATTGTCCCTGATCGCCCAGCAGAGCTTCCCTGGACAAACCCCTCACCCAACCCTGCCTTCTTAACTGTTCTTATAATAAGGTGAATACCTCTCACCCATCCTGCCATCTTAACCGGCTCTTCTGCCCCACCCCCACCCGCCATTGTTACTGAACTTACGGTAATGTATACTCCTTGCCCCTACCCCACTGCTGTAACTGATCTTACTCTGCAACTTTCCACTGCCCACGCTAAACCTATAAAACCAACTCCTATCCCACTGCCCTTTGCTAACTCCCTTTTCAGCCTTAGCCGACCTGCAGCCAGGTGAATAAACAGCCATGTTGCTCACACAAAGCCTGTTTGGGGTCTTTTCATTCAAAGCGCGTTTTTAACAAAAACTATTAAAGTGAGCAACTTTATAAATATATGTTTGTATACTAGTTTGTATGTTTATGTAGAAAATAACAGATTTCTAGAAGTATAATTGAAGTTTCCATCCAATAAGCAGGGTTAATCCAAGTTGATCTCCAAAATGTATTTTCTACTGATAGTATGAGAAATGCCCTTATGTATACATTTTTCATTTTTTGTCAGTCAAAAAGATAATATTCATTTTACTTTTGTTTTGGTTTCTGTTTATTTAGTTATAAGCAAAGTTAAAATGTCATCTTAAGTGTGTATGCTATCATAGTTCTGTCACATTGTATTGTACAATTCATGTAACCCAGATATTAGCTTTTCCTTTTCCCCTAAGGAACAATTCCCTCCAAGTATAATTAGGGAAATAGAATAGTCCTTGAGCTTCCAAGTTCTATGTTCTTCTCACTGTCTCTTTACTTTTGATAATTCTCCACTCTGATATGGGACACTTCTCCATTTGTTACTGGATTCAGCCTGGAAAGCATGACTGCAGTCCCCTGGGGATCCTGATGCTTATGTTTCCAAGGGGTTTTACAGGACGGGAGTTAGGGAAAGGGGGGAATGAGTTGAATTTAGGGTAGGTGTCACATGTTTTATGGCCCTAGCTCTTACTTCCTTCCATTACAGCTCTACTCAAGACATCGAGGTGGGAGGAGAGAGACTTTTGTTATAACAAATAACTAAGATGTAGAGACTGACATATTTGTATTACTCTATTGTTTTAATATATTGCATCAGAATGCTTCAAAATGTTATGTTTTTAATATTTAGTTTTACAAGAGAATATTGTAAGGCTATGTAAATTTTAATCATAAAACAGTTGGAAAACCTCCCATGGAAGAGAGGTCTACACATCAGTCTAAACTTAGACTCTCTGGAATTTAGCCAACTTTTCAACCTGGTATAACTTATCTTTAAAGGGTTTTAAAAAATGTTTGTTGTTAATTTAATTCCCATTATTGGCATAAAGTAAATAAACTATGGAAAAGTGAAGAGCTACTTCTTACTGTTATTGGCCCTGTTTGACAAATGGACACAAAGAAGAACCAAAAAAATTACTTGTCCATATTAATATGATCTCAGTGATAGAACTGGAACGTGACTCCAGGACTTCTTGCCCTCTCTCCTGGTCCCCAGCTATGTTTAACACTTCCTTCACTTCTCTGAGTCACAGTCTGCTAATATTTTTAAGCTGTTCAACTTAATTTTTAACAGTTCTACATTTGTTTACATGACATGTTCCAGAGATATTTACACAATTGATGACTCAAAAATTGAATCAGAACAATCATTTGAAGAGGAAAGACAACACTGAGCTAAGAAGTAAGTCTTATTTTAAGAATGAGGTCCCTTGGTAAGAGAGAGAACTGTTGATGAAATCGAAATGAGGTGTCAAATTCCCTACTCCTTACTAAGTAACAACTTGCTAATTAGACTCTTAAGTAACCTAACCTAATTCACTCTTGCAAACATTTGAACACTATGTTTCTGTCTTGGTTTGAAAAAAAAAAAAAAAGAAGGGAGGAAGGCAGCAAATCACACTGCCACATGTGTACCTATGCAACTATCTTGCATGTTCTTCACATGTACCCCAAAACCTAAAATGCAATTAAAAAAAAAAAGAAGAAGAAGAAGTGCTTGCCTCATGTTGATAATGGGTGATGGGTTCTCACAGAAAGCCTGAATAGAGTAATGAATAAGCTCATTTCGCATTAAAGTCAACTGACTAGGTTCAGATCCCAGCTTTGCCATTTATTATTTGTGATCAGGAAAAATAACTTCTGTATGTTTCAGTGTCTTCATCTCTAAAATAAAGACATGTACTTGTATCCACCATAAAGTTCCTGTAAGGGTTAAATGAGTATTTGGGTAATAGGTTGGTATCTTTCGGTGGTGGGGGATGGAAGGAATTAAGTTGGATGCGTTTTTCACTCCTAAAAAATGCAGATGGCAGGATCAGTGATGAAGAGACTTATTTTATATCCTTTTAATCTTTTGAATTCATACCCCAAGCATATATTAACTATTCAAAAAGAAGAAGTAGGCAATGGACCTTTACCATCAAAACTTTAAAGGAAAATTACTTTCAACCTTGAATTCTTTTTGAGACAAATATTCAATCATATGTGTCCATAAATGTTTAGGAGAAACATAAAAGCACCAAACTATGAGTTGTGGACAGGTAAACTCTGAAAAATGTAATTTATCAGGAGGGGGGTGAAAATTTCAGTGTTCACTTTGTGTGTTTCTATGTTTTGAAATTTTACCATGAGAATTTAATACTTTTGTGTAGCCAGCATGTAGCTGAGACCCAAGGGCAGCAGCTATGCTCTTCATGTCTCAACCTTGGAACCAAATCTCCAAAAGAAAACAGACTCTTCCACACACTATTGAAAACAGATATTTTACTCTTGAATCTAGAATTTCTAGAGTCTAGGTTTTCTATAAGGAACCAAGGGCATACTCTACATCGTATAGTGCACAGTATTTACCCAGAATAATCTTATTAAAAGTATCTTTTCTCCTCAAGCAACTCTCCCTGCTGCCCTCTGGGTTGCTGTCTTGATCTTCCCCATGCAGACCTTGGCCTTGTTTGGCTTAGGTCTTCTCTACCCAGTACAGGGACTTTGGCAATCTTTGTCTCTTCCTTCCTGAAGCAGAGCTTTCTCTGCCCCACCTCTCCAATCTTCCATTCTAACGCTTATCACTGAACCCTGTCCTCACCTGCCAGGAGAGGCAATTGTTATAAGGAAGTTACGAGGACGATTTTACAATTAGATAAAAAGAAAAAAATATCCTCTTGTTACTAGGAACTGTCTCCTGGGGAGGAAGTAAGGAAATTTGTTTGTTTATTTGTTTCTATCATGAATAATTTTTTAAAGGGTAGCACTTAAAGTTTAAGAAAATTAAATCTTAAAAAAATAAGGACTTTTGATTGGGCACGTTGGCTCACACCTGTAATCACAGCACTTTGGGAGGCTGAGGCAGGTGGATCACAAAGTCAGGAGTTCGAGACGAGCCTGACCAACATGGTGAAACCCTGTCCCTACTAAAAATACATTATTAGTTGTGCATGGTGGTACATGCCTGCAATCCCAGCTACTCTGGAGGCTGAGGTGGTAGAATCACTTCGACTCGGGAGGCAGAGGTTGCAGTGAGCCGAGATTGCACCACTGCAGCCCAGCCTGGGCAAAAAGAGTGAAACTCTGTCTCAAAAATAATAATAATAATAGGCTGGGAGCTGTGGCTCACGCCTGTAATCCCAGCACTTTGGGAGGCTGAGGTGGGCAGAACCTGAGGTCAAGAGTTCGAGACCATCCTAGCCAACATGGTGAAACCCACTCTCTATTAAAATACAAAATTAGCTGGGTGTGGTGGTGCACACCTGTAGTCCCAGCTACTTGGGAGGCTGAGGCAGGAGAATTGCTTGAACCCGGGAAGTGGAGGTTGCAGTGAGCCAAGATCATGCCACTGCACTCCAGCCTGGTACCTGGAGACAGAGCAAGACTCTGTCTCAAAAAAAATAATAATAATAAATAAAGACCTTTTACTGACATTTTCCTAACCATGGAAATTTATTTTAAACACTAAGGATTTTTACAACACTCTTTCTTTCTTTCTCTCTCCTTTTTCTCTCTCTTTCTTTCTTTTCTTTCTTTCTTCAGCTGCAATCTCCCTATTTTGTCCAGGCTGGTCTTGAACCCCTGGCCTCAAGTGATCCTCCCACCTCTGCCTTTCAAAGTGCTGGGATTACAGGCATTAGCCACCAAGTCCAGCTGAAGATCATTTGTCTTAAGCAGGGTTTCTGGGGTGCTAGGTTTCCTTCCTCTGGGGTGCTAGGCTCCTATAGGAATAGATGAGATGAAGTTCAAGGCATTGGGGCATTATTAAAAGAATTAGGCTTGACTTTTCAACCCAGGTGAGAAAGGACAAGTGTTTCACATTCAAGAGTCTGGGATGTTTATGGCTGCACTTTACAGACTTTCAGAGGAGAATGAGCATTTATGCCCTCCTTCCATCAGGGGTAATTCCCCAACAGCTGCACTCCATGGTTCCTGTGACAGCAGGAAGAGTGTAGGGTCACCTTCTCCTCACACCAGGAGGATAGCTAGGCTTCTAGTCTCAGCTGAAAGCTCCACCCATGCCACCCCCAAGCCAAGCTGTCTTTTCAGCCTGGGAGAGGTGGAGGAGAGACTTTCCTTCTCAGGAGTAGTGATTTCACCCCAGATAGCTCCTGCACCAGTTAGCTCCTCAACAGGGCACACCCAAGAACTGGTCATTCCAGATTCAACCTCCAGAGAACTCCAGAGACACTTCAACTGATAGACATTCTTACGTGCAGAACTTCCTGTCTGCCCAGCACTTTTGGACCCAGTGTTTTCTATACTTCAAGCACAATTCAGTCTATACTTCGAGCACATTTTACTTATTTCAGACTCTGAGGATTACATTTCATTACAGAATCATCTTGCAAAACTCACGCTCAGTAAATTGGTGTCTCTAATGGCCCCAGAAGTGTGTGTGTGAGAATTATATTTTTTCTGCATTTGAAAGGGCATTATTCAGAGTACAATGACCTGCTACTGGCCCGAACCCTCTTTGAGAAAAAAAGACAGTCTCTCTTCTATCTTTTCCTATTATGTATGAAAGAATTGCCTGTCCTCCTAGGGTCAAGGGACAAATGCCATAGCATAGCAGTGTGGGATGACTGTTAAAATATTGACATTTAACAATAGGCGTCAACCACAAACTGTGACCAACTCAGCAGCTGGCCCAATCCAGGACAGGTTACAGATGCAGCCAAAAGAAGCTGTGCCCAACTTGCTCCCAGATGAAGAGGTTTCTGCTGTGGAGCAAGTCCTCTGACCCCCACCCCAGGCAGCTAGATGACAGCACTGACTTATTTGTGACTTACTGACAACCAGAGAGAATTGCTCATATGCAGGGAGATGGGCTTCCCTCTGTAACCTGCTCTTTTCTCTACTCATACAACTTCCCCACAACCCCTAGTCTGGAGGACATCTGCTTTCATGGGAAACAGTGATGCCTAGGTAAGAGCTCATAACATCAATGTACTGCCATTGTCTCCTGATCTCCACTACTTTCCCCGAGGTACCTTGACTTCAAGGTCATCTACCAAGTCAAGTAGAATTTGCCTGATTCTCAAATGTTCTCCTTCCCCCTTTCCCCCATTTTCTGATATTTCCATGTATCATCATCGGTCAGGGTCAAATCAGGAAAACATAACTCATACCAGGATGGGGAACTAATTATATAGGTACTGGAAAATCAAATGGGATGATTAGCAAAAGTACGGAGATGATGTCAGTCCTAGGATGAGGAGGGAGAGCACTGAGAAATAGAAGATTCCTAAGAATGGAGGGAGAGGGAGATAGGGTCCTAGGTATAGGACCTTAGGTGGAAAGAGAGATTGGCCTTAGGTGGAAAGAGACAAATTTTTTATGAAAACAGGAGGGCATAAGAGAAGATATATGCAGAAACAGGAGACTTAAGGTCCAATAATTTTGCTAAATCATTTTGATCAACGTTAAACAGATTTTAGTTCATGTAGCTTTCTTCAGCTGCTGCTTTTTTTAAAGGACAGCATCTCACTCTGTTGCCCAGGCTGGAGTGCAGTGACATGATCTTGGCTCACTGCAGCCTTGAATTTTGGGCTCAGGTGATTCTCCCACTTCAGCCTCCCAAGTAGCTGAGACTATAGGTGTGCACCACCATGCCCAGCTAACTTTTTAATTTTTGTAAAGACCAGGTCTCTACAAGCCCAGGCTGGTCTTGAACTTCTAGGCCCAAGTGATCCTCCCACCTCAGCCTCCCAAAGTGCTGGGATTACAGGCATGAGCCATTGCATCTGCCCTATATAGAGTTCTTAACTGCTTCCTTCAGAACCTTTAACATACTAACATATACTGGAAATCATTCAGAGTCTTCCCAATCATAATTTACCACAGAACCCCTTTTCATGAATCACCTAGGGGTCTTGTGTTCTGGAAGACATTCCTTGAAAAACACTGACTTACCCAATATATGCCTGGACCTTCCTAGCTATTAAATGGAGTCAATACTAGCTTATCTGGCTATAATTACCTCATTATGATGTTGTAAACATAAGTTTGAAAAATCTATACATCTCATTAATAAGTTCTATTCAAGTAGAGAAAGGCATTCTCCATCAACACTCATAGTCTAGGTGGTCATCTAGAACAGACTGTTACCCAGGAAACCTCCCAGGGTGGCATTTAATTACCTTGCTGAATTTACCAAAGCTCTCAGTCTTGCAGACTCAGAAACTGTTTCCTCAAAACACAGACAGCAGACATCTTCTCAGAAGCAAGTGCACATGAACCAGCATCTCCAGACAGACACAAAGTATATTAATTTAGTAATTTACAACAATGAGAGCTATGTCTGTCATGTTATTCATGATAGCCTTACTCATGCACTCAAGAGTATTTATTGATTGTCTGTTATATACTGGGCCATGAAACGGGTATCAGATCCAGGCAGCACTAATCAGTGTTCTTCCAGGGATGCAATATACCGACCTCTTCCTGCTGGCATTCCTCTTCCATTGCCCCCCAGGACCAAACCAGTGATGGAACAGGGCAGTGAGGTCCTGACCTAAGCTGGCCCAGCTGCATGACAGCATGTGACTTAGGCTGCTGGCGAGATTAAAAGTGTTGTAAAGTTCTGTCTGCAGTAAGAGAGGAAAAGGTGAATATGCCAAAAAAGTTGTGACAAACTGTGTTGGGAACTGAATGGAGAGAGAGGTCCGGTTGACTGTGAGCCCAGAGTTCAAGTCTCTGAGGTCCTAGATTCTTGGGCTCTTCCTTCCACCCTCTAAACTAGCCCAGGGTCGTTCCCAGTAATCTGAATCAAAACAATTCTCTTTCTGCTTGAGCTGGTTTTACTCAGGTTTCTGGTGCTTATAGCTGACAAAGTCCTGACATCTATAGCTGGTCTGCAACTGATTTGGATCAGACAAATTTGAAATCATTTAGAGCAGCTGGTACTTCCTCATGATGCATGAACCTCTCAACAGAGAAGATGAAAGAGATAGGTTAGGGAGGGAGGCTTTTTTTTTTTTTTTTTTTTTTTTTTTTTGTAGACAGAGTCTTGCTCTGTTGCCAGGTTGGAGTGCAGTGGTGTGATCTCAGCTCACTGCAATCTCCCCTTCCCGGGTTCAAGTGATTCTCCTGCCTCAGCCTCTAGAGTAGCTAGGACTACAGGTGCACACCACCATGCCAGCTAATTTTTTTGTATTTTAAATAGAGACAGGGTTTCACTATGTTGGCCAGGATGGTCTCAATCTCCTGACCTCGTGATCTAAATTACTAAAATTACAAAAATTAGCCGTGCATGGTGACTCACACCTATAATCCCAGCCTTGGCCTCCCAAAGTGCTGGGATTATAGGTGTGAGCCACTGAGCCCAGCCCTTTATTTAATTTAATTTAATTAATTAATCCATTTATTTATTTATTTTTGAGATGGAGTCTTTACTCTGTTGCCCAGGCTTGAGTGCAGTGGCACAATCACAGCTCAGCCTCCAAGTAGCTGGGACTACAGGCAAGCACCACCATGCCCAGCTAATTTTTGTATTTTTAGTAGAAACGGGGTTTTGCCATATTGGTCAAGCCAGTTTGGAATTCCTGACCTCAGGTGATCCATCCTACTAAGCCTCCCAAAGTGCTGGGATTACAGGTGTGAGTCACCATGCACAGCTAATTTTTGTAATTTTAGTAGAGATGGGGTTTTGCAATGTTGGCCAGGCTGGTCTCAAATTCCTGACCTCGGGTGATCCACCTGCCTCAGCCTCCCAAAATGCTGGGATTATAGGTATAAGCCACCGTGCCCGGTCTGATTATACATTACTGAACAGAAGAAATGTTGACTTATGAAACTGAGATGATAAAATAATTGGCATTATTTATGGAATAAATAGCAACTTAATTGTCTCCTAAGTTGATGAGAATGTACTCAGGGATATAACTATAAAATATTAACTGGAAAAAGTTTTTCTTATTCCCAGGAATTCCTCTGTAACGTAGCAGAATACAGAAAGATCATACTATATACTAAATTTATTTGTAGTTGTTTTGGCACTAGTTTTATAGAATACTAATTAAACATTTATTGTTAACATACAATCAAGGAAAATAGCCCAACGTGGTGGCTCATGCCTGCAATCCCAGCACTTTGGGAGGCTGAGGTGGGTGGATCATCTGAGGTCGGGAGTTTGAGACCAACGTGACCAACATGGAGAAACCCCCGTCTGTACTAAAAATACAAAATTAGCCAGGTGTGGAGACACATGCCTGTAATTCCAGCCACTCATGAGGTTAAGGCAAGAGAATCGCTTGAACCCAGGAGGTGGATGTTGCAGTGAGCTGAGATCCCACCACTGCACTCCAGCCTGGGCAAGAAGAGCGAAACTCTCTCTGGAAAAAAAAAAGAAATCAAGGAAAATAAGAGGCTGTAAGATATAAATCACTTAGTCACTTACAATAATAATGATGCCTTACATTTAGGCAGCATTTGCTAGTTTAGAAAAAACATAGTTTTATATATTGTCTCTTATGATCCTGACAACCACCTGGAGGTAGATAGGCAAGGTCTTATTACCCTCATTTAAAGAAGATCACCCTGTCCCGGTTTACGCAAGTGACGAGGGCGCGGGCGAAATACTCCAGCCACACCTCTGAATCATAGCCAAAAGTTGTTTCCGTAAAATATAATACTACAATCATACAATTCAAGAACAGGGTAATGAGCAAATCCTTCACCAGCTGAGGAACACATGACATCTCACCGTAAGGATGCCTTTAATTTGTTATGTCAAGCTCCATGTGCCTAGATTAGCAGAAAATCTGGACCTTTCCTTCTCTCCTCTTAGCTTGACCTCCTTCCCTGATAAGCTTAGAAGTCAGAGTGGACAGAACCACAGCTGATTGCTCTGGAAGGCATCACCCTAGTTGCTGCAGAAGCTGAGAGCCTGGTGTCATTGCTGCTTTTGAAATGTTTTGAAACAATACTGGCTGGGCCCGGTGGCTCAAGCCTGTAATCCCAGCACTTTGGGAGACCAAGGTAGGTGGATCACCTGAGGTCAGGAGGCCGAGACCAACCTGGCCAACGTGGGGAAACTCCGTCTCTACTAAAAATACAAAAAAACATTAGCCAGACACCATGGAGCATGCCTGTAGTCCGAGCTACTTGGGAGGCTGAAGCTGGAGAATCGCTTGAACCCGGGAGGTGGAGGTTGCAGTGAGCTGAGATCATTGCACTCCAGCCTGGGTGACAGAGTGAGACTTTGTCTCAAAAAAAAAAAAAAGCAGTACCTTTGTCAAAGCTATACCCTTGAAAAGCCATGCCTTTGTCAGCTTCCACTGCTGCCCACAGGATTTCAGCACAGTGTCCTTATGTCTACTAAAGCTCCAGCCCATCTCAGACCCAAGTTCCAGCTACCAACACTGTGATCTCTTGCAGATACATAGGCCATCTGAAAGAAATGACTTGGATTGAGATTTGTGTCCTCGCTGTGGCTGATACTGATACACATTCTTTCAAGGCTTCCACTAATAAAGGTGGGGAGATTCCTTTTTCCTTAGGATTACACATTTAGACAAGGGCGCTCAAAACCCAGTGGTACAGGGATCTCAATAGTACAGTCCTTTGGATTCATTCACTCAGTCTCTTCCCCAGGGCATAAGCCAAGTGGAGACATAAACTGCACTAAAACCTTTATTTATTTACTTATTTAAAATTTAACTTATTGTTAGGAAAATGTTCAAACATACAAATAAAATATTAGGCTTCTTCCCGGCTCCCATGTATCCATCACTGAGCTTTAATACTTACTGACTCTCTCCTAATCTTATTTCTGTGCTGCCACTTTCTCTCCTCTGAAGTATTTTTAAGGAAATATCTATATCTATATCTAGATCTATATTTTTTAGACAGGGACTCACTCTGTTGCTCTGTGGTTTCATCTGGGCTACTGCAACCTCCACCTCCCAGCCTCAGGAGATCCTCCCATCTCAGCCTCCCAAGTAACTGGGACTACAGACATGCACTACCATGACCAGCTAATTTTTGTATTTTTTTTGTAGAGACGGGGTTTCCCTACAGCGCCTATGCTGGTCTTGAATTCCTCCAGGCCTCAAATGATCCACCCGCCTCAGCCTCCCAAATTGCTGGGATTACAGGCATGAGCCACCACACCAGGTGAACTGTTTCCAAAAACACAACCACAGTATCATTACGACATTGACACAAGTATTAATCTGTAATGAATTCCTTAATATCATCTAATATCCAGCCTATAGTCAAATTTCCCCATTGTCTGAGAAATTTTTAAATCATTGGATTATGAAGTCGAGATCCACATACTATGTCGAATTGTTATGTTTCCTAAGTCTCCTTTAATTTATTAAGTAACGTATTGTTGAAGAAACCCTGTCATTTGTCTGTAGGGCTCCTCACATTCTGCGTTTAGTTGACTGTAGTTTTGGTTGTGTTTGACACCTTCCTCTATCATTCATTCTCCTCCTCAAAAACTGGTAGTTAGATTTAAAGGTTTGATTGGATTCAGATTCAAAATTTTTCTGCAGGGGGACAAAAATACTTCATAGATGGTTCATATATTTTAAATTATACTACATTGGGATGCATATGATTTATGGTTGTTTGATGTTAGTGATGTAAAGATCGTTCAGTGGATCCAGGTGTTGTCAGCCTGATCCATTCATTAACTCTACCCACCAATTTTTCATTTAATGATTTTAGCAGCCATTGCTGACTGTTTCTTAAATCTATTGTTTTATTAGTAGTTTCTGAAATGATGATTTTTCTATTTGTATCTTAATTTTTTGAGACAAGAGTCTCACTCTATTGCCCAGGCTGGAGTGCAATGGGGCGATCTGGGCTCACTGTAACCACCACCTTTCGGGTTCAAGTAATTCTCCTGCCTCAGCCTCCTGAGTAGATAGGATTACAAGCACCTGCCACCATGCCCGGCTAATTTTTGTGTTTTTAGTAGAGATGGGATTTCACCATGTTAGTCAGGCTGGTCTTGAACTTCTGACCTCAAGCAATCCACCTGCTTCAGCCTCCCAAAGTGCTGGGATTACATAGCCACTGCACCCAGCCTATCATTTATTTTACATTTATTAGTTGGAAATATTTTATACAAAAGGACTTTTCCTTTAAAATTCATTGGCTACACTGAAATACAGTTTGTACAATAAAGGCAGAACAAATGTTTGGTTCTTTCCCTTTATTTACAAATTACCATATAACTAGCAACTTGCTATGGCAACTTCTATAGGTTAGTGAATTTCTTTCCTTTTAGAAAATTTGTAGAGACAGTCTCATTATGTTGCCCAGGCTGTTCTTGAACCCCTGGCCTCAAGCAATCCTCCCACCTTAGCCTCCCAAAGTGCCCAGATTACAGGTGAGCTAGTGCACCTGGCATGAATTTATTTTCTTAGTATCATTATGAACTTGTGATTTTTTTTTTTTGAGACAGAGTCTCGCTCCGTTGCGAGGAGCCAGGCTGGAATGCAATGGCAAGACCTCGGCTCACTGCAACCTCCGCCTCCCAGGTTCAAGCAATTCTCCTGCCTCAGCCTCCCAAGTAGCTGGGACTACAGGCGTGTGCCACCTCACCCAGCTAATTTTTTTATTTTTCGTAGAGACAGGGTTTCACCATGTTGGCCAGGATGGTCTTTACCTCGTGATCCGTTCACCTTGGCGTCCCAAAGTGCTGGAATTACAGGCGTGAGCCACCGCGCACGGCCAAACTTGTGATTTTTAACATCAGTGATGTGATAAGTGATTTAAAATACATTCTGTGCTTTGGAAGGCCAAGGTAGGAAGATTGCTTGTGCCCAGCAATACAAGATCAGCCTGGGCAATATGGCAAGACCTAGTCTCTGTAAAATAATAACAATAAAATAAAAATCTAACAATAGGCCAGGTTCGGTGCCTCATGTCTGTAATCCTGGCACTTTGGGAGGCCAAGGCAGGTAGATCAATTGAGGTCATGAGTTCCACACCAGCCTAGCCAACATGGTGAAACTTCATCTCTACTAAAAATACAAAAATTAGCTGAGTGTGGTGGTGAACACCTGTAATCCCAGTTACTGAGGAGGCTGAGGCAGAATAATCTATTGAACCTGGGAGGCTGAGGTTGCAGTGTGATGGCGCCTTTGCACCCCAGCCTGGGTGACAGAGCAAGGCTCCATCTCAAAAAAAAAAAAAAAAAAATCTGCTTGGCATGATGGCTCACGTCTGTAACCCCATTAATCCCAGCACTTTGGGAGACCAAGGCAGGCAGATCACGAGGTTAGGAGTTCGAGACCAGCCTGGCCAATATGGTGACACCCCGTCTCTACTAAACATACAAAAATTAGCCAGGCATGGTGGCATGCACTTGTAGTCCCAGCTACTCGGGAGGCTGAGGCAGAAGAATCGCTTGAACCTGGGAGGTGGGGGTTGCAGTGAGCCAAGACTGTGCCATTGCACTCCAGCCTGGTGACAGGGCAAGACTATGTCTCAAAAAAAAAAAAGAGGCCGGGCGCGGTGGCTCAAGCCTGTAATCCCAGCACTTTGGGAGGTCGAGGCGGGTGGATCACGAGGTCGAGAGATCGAGACCAACCTGGTCAACATGGTGAAACCCCGTCTCTACTAAAATACAAAAAATTAGCTGGGCATGGTGGCGCGTGCCTGTAATCCCAGCTACTCAGGAGGCTGAGGCAGGAGAATTGCCTGAACCCAGGAGGCGGAGGTTGCGGTGAGCCGAGATCTCGCCATTGCACTCCAGCCTGAATAACAAGAGCGAAACTCCGTCTCAAAAAAAAAAAAAAAAAGAAAGAAAGAAAGAAAGAAAACTAACAATCAACTTACTTCGTTTTAAAGAGAAACACTTTCCTGAAGAACTAAAACATAAGACCAAAATATCTAAACATACTTAAACAATATTTCCAGGATTCTCTACTTGTTCTCTGATTTTCTCCTTTTCCTTTGCCCAGTGTACTGGCCTTTATTAAAGGAATTTTTGGTGTCTGATTGAGGCTAAAGGTTGACAACTTCTGGCAAACTTACTAATGATTTCCATCTTTATGTCATTCAAATTACATTTATAAGACCTACATTTCCTATAACTAGTATTTGCACCTGCATTTTCATTAAAATAAGAGCAAATAAATATTCCAATAATTGAACACTACTCAAGTAACTGGACACTACCACACCATGTGGACAACCACAGGGATGCTGCTCAAACCGAAGCAATGACAGTCAGTGCCACTGTATGTGAGTTCTGCTTGCTTGGTGGCTTAGCTATCAAAGCCAACATTTGATTCGTCAAAGAAGGTTTAGGCATTTTGATGGAGGAAGCATAAAACCCTGTTATTGACTGTGACATGCTGGATTGTTTCTGTTAGTGTACTTGTTGTATCTCCACTAGACGACAGTTAGTTCTTGGGGGGCAGGAGCCACATCTTTTTTTTTTGATATGGAGTTTTGCTCTTGTTACCCAGGCTGGAGTGCAATGGCGCAATCTCAGCTCACTGCAACCTCTGTCTGAGTTCAAGCAATTCACCTGCCTCAGCCTCTAGAGAAGCTGGGATTATAAGCATGTACCACCACACCTGGCTAATTTTGTATTTCTAGTAGAGACAGGGTTTCACCATATTGGTCAGGCTGGTCTCAAACTCCTGACCTCAGGTGATCCACTTGTCTTGGCCTCCCAAAGTGTTGGGATTACAGGCGTGAGCCACCGCACCCTGCCCTGAATAGGCTTTATTGATTGATTAATTGATTGATTGAGACGGAGTTTCCCTCTCGTTGCCCAGGCTGAAGCACAATGGCGTGATCTCTGCCCACTGAGCCTCTGCCTTCTGGGTTCAAGCAATTCTCCTGCCTCAGCCTCCCAAGTAGCTGGGATTACAGGCATGTCACCATGCCCAGCTAATTTTGGATTTTTAGTAGAGACGGGGTTTCTCCATGTTGGTCTTGCTGGTCTCGAACTCCTGACCTCAGGTGATCTGCCTGCCTTGGCCTCCCAAAAAGCTGGGATTACAGGCATGAGCCACTGCACCCGGCCACTGTACAGGCTTTTTTTTTTTTAAATGAAAGAATTAATGATATATGCAAGACAGGAGAGAACTCTACCATGATTTTGAGCAGTGAGATACATAATTAGATTTTTTTTTTTTGAGACAGGGTCTTGCTTAGTTAGGCTGGAGTGGTGTAGTGACATGATCATAGTTTACTGAAACTGAATTCCTGGGCTCTAGCGATCCTCCTGCCTCAGCCTCCCAGGCAGCTAGAACCATAGGCACCATACCCACATAATTAAAAAAAATTTTTTTTAAAAGAGGTCTCCCTATGTTACCCAGGCTGATCTCAATTTCTTGGGTTCAAGTGATCCTCTCATTTTGGCCTTCCAAAGCACTGGGATTATAGACACCTCGCCCAGCCGAGACTGATTTTTTAGTTTTTTACTTTGACTCTGTGGTATTGGTATTTGTCTTAGTCCATTCAGGCTGCTATAAAAAAATATGTACTGGGTGGATTACAAACAACTAAAATTTATTTCTCACAATTCTGGAGGCTGAGAAGACCAACATCAAGGTGCCAAGCAGATTCGGTGTCTGAGGAGGACCTGCTTCCTCATAGACAGCTGTTTACTCATTCTAATATCACATCGTGGACCAGGAAGGGGTGTCTCTCTGGCCTGTTTTATAAGGGCACTAATCCTATTCATGAGTGCTCTGCTGTTATGGCCTAATCACCTAAGGAAGGCCCCGAGGTGTCCTGCCAAAACTCACATGTTGAAGTCCTAACCATCACCTGCCAGAACTCACATGTTGAAGTCCTAACCATCACCTGCCAGAACTCACATGTTGAAGTCTTAACTTGCATCAACATGCGAGTTTTGGCAGGACACAAACATTCAGACCATAGCAGTAATATAACTTTTTTTAAGACAGAGTTTTGCACTTGTCATCCAGGCTGGAGGGCAATGGCATGATCTCAGCTCAATACAACCTCCGCCTCCTGGGTTTAAGTGATTCTCCTGTCTCAGCCTCCCGAGTAGCTGGGACTACCAGCATGCACCACTACACCTGGCTAATTTTGTATTTTTTGTAGAGATGGAGTTTCATCATGTTGGCCAGGATAGTCTGAAACTCTTGACCTCAGGTGATCCACCGGCCTTGGCCTCCCACAGTGCTGGGACTACAGGTGTGAGCCACCACACCTATTTTTCTTTAAAAACTAATTTTTCTGATTGCAGATGTAGTACATTTCATGTTTGAGTATTTTAGAAAATAAAAATAAAATCACTGATAATTCCATTCCTTAGGGTTAACATTTGCATGTGTTTTCTAGTATTTTTCTATGCTTATATTATTATTATTTTTGAGATAGTGTCTTGCTCTGTCACCCAGGCTGGAGTGCAGTGGTGTGATGAAAGCTCACCTTGAAATCCTGGGCTCAAGCAAATCCTCCCGTCTCAGCCTCCTGAGTAGCTGGGGCCACAGGCACTGGCCACCACCCATGCCTGGCTAATTAAAATGAAAATGTTAAATGTTCATCTAGAACATATGGTTTAGTAACCTACTCTTTTACATTCATATGTTATCCACTTTCTCATACAATAGAAACTGTAATGGCTGTAAGACATGATTATTTCATTATCACATCTATTTTTAAAGAAACAAGGCCCAAGTCTAGTTTCCATAACATGAAATTCTGATGAACAGGACCACAGAGCAGTGATTTTGATCACGATTGTGCCTGGTAATAAAAGCTGGCTACTCCATGGCATGAACAGCTCCAGGATGGGAGATTAACTTCAACAACCATTCATTCAGTTTGCTTTGATTTTCTGCCAGTCTTATGACTAACTTGAAGCATGTCCTAGAACAGAGAATGTTATGTTTGGTGTCCAAGGAACCAGCAGCAAACTAGAGGAACCATTCCAAATTCTAGAATAAGAGAGCCAACAATCTTTTCATACCAAAGTTATCCATTTTCTGAAGCAAATTTTGAACTAAAATGTTAAAAATGTCATGTAAGGTAGATTAAACGTCATATGGGGAAAATAACTTGTTAGTGCAACAAGGAAACTGAAAAGACATATCTGTAGATAAATTTTCCTTTCCAGATTCTACAAGACGTCTATCCTTCTAGAAGACGAACTTTAGCAAATTCATTGTCACTTGCTTCTGAAGTGTTTCCCAGGCACATTAGTTATCAGCCACCCTGCCTCTAGGGTATCAAGGACAAATAAATATGTTTCAGGTAGGCTGACAATAGGAAAGAAGTATAAGGACAAGAAACTACCTGCAATACCAGGTGGGAGTGTCCTAAAAAGCGATGTGCTGAAATACTGACCCTTCCAGCCGGTTAACTTTCGTAATCATGCATTTACTTTTCATGACGTACATCCATCGGTGCCAACTAAATATATGAAAGCCCGATGATTCAGGGGAAAAAAATGCAGTATTGTGTGTGGAACTGGAAGAGATTCAAAATGAGTGCCATGGCAACAACTAACTTCTTTTAAAAGCTTCATGCAAAGGCCTTTGAGTTAGTTGGTGTAGTAAGTATTGTGTTTTGACCATCAGTATCTATTTCCACGTTTTGGTGACAGTACTCCATTTTTTTCTTCTGGGAACCACTCCTCTCTTATAATCCATGCTCTTTGGGTGGACCAGAGGTACAGCATATGACTCAAATTTGGCTAATCATAGCACAGAATTTTCCTTGCTACAGTAATTTGTTAGAGGATGGGAGGTAACTCATATTGGTTCAGTGAATCTAGGAGCTACTGGAAAAGCTCTCTCTCTCGCTGGCCTTGGACTGGAGAGAATATAGAACTAAAGTTTTTAAGAACTGTCTTGCTACCACACGATGAAGTCTGCATATAAAGCCAATATGGAGAAGAGCTGGTTGGGGTTTTTTGTTCGTTTTAAGAGATGGGATCTTGCTATGTTGCTCAGGCTGGAGTGTGGGGCTATTCACAGGCACAATTGTGCTGTTATATAACCTTGGACTCCTGAGCTCAATCTTCCTGAGGTAGCTGAAACTACTACTACAGGCACAAACTTGGCCTGTCTCTACTTAAAAAAAAAAAAAAAAAAATTACCTGGGCATGGTGGTGCATGCCTATAGTCCCAGCTACTAAGGAGGCTAAGGTAGGAAGATCACTGCAGTGAGCTATGAGTATGCCATTGCACTCTAGCCTGAATGACAAAGTGAGACCTTGTTTTTTAAAAGAAAAAAAGAGAAAATTTGTTACCATGGTCACCAGTTTGATCTGGTCTATTACCATCCTATTACTATCCTTTCCGCTTGTCCTTTACTCTTCAGCCTTCTTATTGCTCCTCAAACATGGCAAGCACATTTTTGTTTTAGGGCCTTTGCAATTGCTGTTCCTTTGCTTAAAATGCTCTTTTCCCAGGTATTTACACAGCTGGCTTCTCTTTCTTTAGATCACCTCATTAGTTCTGACTCTTCCAAGTATTAAATTGAACCATATGATCCTAATGTCACACAACTGATTGAACCACACGAACCTAACGTCATTCTCAGGTCAAAAATTAATTTAAAAAATCAGTAATTTCGACCTGGTGCAGTGGCTCACGCCTGTAATCCCAGCACTTTGGAAGGCCAAGGCAGGCGGATCATGATGTCAAGAGATTGAGACCAGCCTGGCCAACATGGTGAAACCCCGTATCTACTAAAAAATATATAAAAGTTAGCTGGGCGTGGTGGCATGCTCCTGTAGTCCCAGCTACTAGGGAGGCTGAGGCAGGAGAATTGCCTGAACCCAGGAGGTGGAGATTGCAGTGAGCCGAGATTGTACCACTGTACTCCAGCCTGGTGCCTGGTAACAGAGCAAGACTGTCTCAAAAAAAAAAAAAATCAGTAATTTCATAGGGTTCAGACTAATAAAATAGCAACTCTACCCTACCCTTTCATTCTCACCCTGTTCAAATATTCCTACAGCACTATTATCTTATATATTATTTGTGTATTGTCTGTGTGTAAGATGCTCAGATAGGGAATTTGTTGTCCACCGCCGTGTCCTCTGTGTGCGGAATAGGATTTGGTCCATAGCAGGCCCTCAGGATGCATTTATTTAAAGAATGAGTAGCTATAAGGCCTGGCATGATGGACCTTAGCTCTTCAGACTCATCTCACATTCTCTCATTTCAGTCCCTGGGACTCTGTTGGTTCCATCATGAAGCCCACATATGCTCTTTCTTGCTTTCCCCCACTTCTGCATGTAGTTTATACTCTGAGGCACTTTTTTTTTTTTTGAGATGGAGTCTTATTCTGTCGCCAGACTGGATTGCAGTGGTGCAATCACAGCTCACTGCAACCTCCGCCTCCAGGGTTCAAGTGATTCTCCTGTCTGAAGCACTTTTAAATGTCGGCTTGAAACATCTCTTCCCAGGAGAAGGCATTTCTGACACCTCAGCTTAGGTCAAGTCCCAACGTTTTTATGCCCTCATGGCAGCACATACCTACCTTTTGTAATACCTGTTAGATTGTAAAGGTACTTTTGTGAGATTGTCTCCCTTACCGAGTTTCATGAAAAAAAGAAAACAGCTTTGTTTTTGCTTCCCGTCTGATGCCTAGCATTTGCAAATTACCCGGCACATAGTGAGAGCTTAACACTCATTAAAATATATGTTATCAACAGAAACTCTGGAATTCTAGCTCCTTAAGGCATAGATTCTGTTTTGCCTCTGTGTTAAGTACCTAATTGGGTGCCTGATACACGCCAGATAAACGTTTGTTAAATAAGCTGTAATATGAAGGATGTTTTATTACTCATTCATAGTAAGTATATAATATGGAAAAACCATTACTTTATAATCAGTGATTAGGCATTCATAATCACTAGTGGAGCAAAGGGTGAGTGCCCTGGGTAGGAGAATCTATGTAGAACCAGAATTAGCCATAAGTGAGATTTTGCATTGTAACCAACAAACCATAGCATTCTTTTTTTTTTTGAGATAGGATCTTGCTCTGTCGCCCAGGCTGGCTTGCAGTGGTGTAGTCATGGCTCACTGCAGCCTTGACCTCCAGGACTCAAGTGATCCACCCACCTCAGCCTCCGGAGTAGCTGGGACTATAGGTGTGCACCACCACAATCTGCCTTTTTTTTTTTTTTTGTAGAGACAGGGTTTCACCATGTTGCTCAGGCTGGTCGTGAACTCTTGGGCCCTCAAAGTGCTGGGATTACAAGGCATTAAGCCACCATGCCTACCCAGTATTCTTGTTTTGACAGTTAGATGTTTAGAAACTTTTTTTCAAATCCAGTCAAATGAGGAGTCTTGTATTCCTGTTTTCCTTTGATAACAATCTCTGAAAAAACTGCAGTGGTCAGAAGATGTATTAAAATATACACACATAAGTTGTATAATTTTGCAGGTTTATTCGGGCAGGATGACATGGAACAGTATGACCAGAAAAAGCAACAACCTTACAAATGAATCACTTTCAATTGTGTTGACCCAGCTAATTTTTTTTTTAATTGAGATGGAGTATTGTTCTGTCACCTGGCTGGAGTGCAGTGGCGCAATCTTGGCTCACTGCAACCTCCGCTTCCCGGGTTCCCCTGCCTCAGCCTCCTGAGTAGCTGGGACTACAGGCGCGCACCACCATGACTGGCTAATTTTTTGTATTTCTAGTGGAGACAGGGTATCACCATGTTGGCCAGGATGGTCTTGATCTCCTGATCTTGTGATCTGTCCGCCTTGGCCATTGAAAGTGCTGGGAATTCAGGCATGAGCCACCGTGCCCAGCCTGACCCAGAAAATTTAAAAAATAAAATTGTAATTCAAGATGAGTACCAGGGCAAGCTTATGAACATATGCTAATTTAGGAGAGGAAGGGTGAAGTCAAATAAAATAGAAATGAATTATTGCAAAATGGAAACTTTTTGATATGATTAAGCATAAAAAGAAATTAAAAACCTAAAGAAGACAGCGGTACGTCAATTTCCTGGTTTTAATAAGGTATTACAGGTATGTAAGATACCAATGGGGGAAATTGGGCAAATACTACAGAGGACCTCTGTACTATTTCTGCAATTTTTTGTGAGTCTATAATTATTTCCAAATAAAAAGTAAAAAAGAAAAACATAACATCATGAAAAAAAAATTTAAATCTAGATGAGAACTCTTAGCAGGAGAACTTAAAACAAATATACACAGTCAAAGACAGTTATATTGCTAGGTTTCCACAGGCATGTAAGGAGTTAAATAAAATTAGAAAAAATGTATCTAACACGAATCCAGACACACTTTTTTTTTTTGAGACAGTTTTTCTCTGTCATGGAGGCTGGAGGGAAGTAGCATGATCACATCTTATTGCAACCTTGACCTCCTGGGCCCAAATAATTCTCCCACCTCAGTCTCCCAAGTAGCTGAGACCACAGGCACATGCCACCACGCCCAGCTAATTTTTTGTAGAAACAAGGTTTCACCATGTTCCCCAGGCTAGTCTTGAACTCCTGAGCTTATGCAATTCACCTGCCTTAGAGTCCCAAATAGCAAGACTACAGGTGTGAGCCATTATGCCTGACCTAGACACACTTTACTAATAAAAATAAAAGTTGTATCCAAACATTTATTTCTTGGCCTCATCAATAAAAACTGTGAAGAATTTGTTATGAAAGGAACAAAAATGTACACATTATACTACCTCATCCCCCAAACTGTACAAACAATTGCAAATTTTTCCTTCATCTATTGATACAATCCCAGAGAAGTCAGTCCTCACAGACCTGGAGGCATTCCCATGTCAGAATATTCCAAAAAGATATAGGAACACATATTCTTGACAGAAAAAAGTCACAAGGAAATGTGCAAGGAGAGACTGCCCATGAAATAATTCATGGTGATGCATTTAGTAGGGCCAAAGAGAGTTCAAATTTTGGCTCTTCCAGCTACTAGTTTTGCTACCATAGATATATCACAATCTCTCTGAACCTCAATATCTTTGTTACTAAAGTGGGTATAATAACCACCCATATCTCAGGCCGGGTGTGGTGGCTCAAGCCTGTAATCCCAGCACTTTGGGAGGCCGAGGCCGGTGGATCAATGAAGTGTCAGGAGTTCAAGACCAGCCTGACCAACACGGTGAAACCCCGTCTCTAAAACAAAACAAAACCCATATCTCAAGGTCAGTCCTAATACTGGAAGAGATATTTAAGTTCCTAGCACAATGCTGTGGAAACAGAAAGTGATCAGTAATCTTAGCTACCTCTCAGTCCCAGTTTACCCAGAAACACAATGCAAAATATTTCTGCTGGTTTACATGAATCAAAACAAGTGGCAAAGGAGTAAAATTAAAAGGGCAAGAGAATCTAATGTATTATCTAGACAATTTTTTTATTAATTGTGCAGTTAATATTTAATACATCTTGGGTTTGTTGGTATTATTCAGGTACTGCATCTGAATAAATCCCTCTCCCTTTATTTTGTCTTCAACAAATTTGGCAAAAGATGTCATTAATCATTTTATTCAGATCATAACATGCCAACGTAAAAATCATAGTTTTAATGTTTACTCATGGCTCTGAGAAGAATAGGGACATAGAAGCAGTGACAGGTTAAAGCATTTGTCTTTCAAGGCTGATAGGTATAATGCCCTGTCTCTAGAAATTCTCTCATTAGTACCACAACGCCAGACTCCATAACCCCTAAGAGTGATCAAGCCTTCTGAAATTGTAGGGGAAGTGGACAGTACAGAAACAGCCCTTACAAGGCTTCAGAGACAGACACTCAACATGGACCTAGTGGGCTTATTCAGGGGGTTCTGAAATCTGCAGTCCCTATATGTAAAGTCTGGTTTAGGCGTTTTTCATGCCTTTTTTTGTCAGGAGGCTCCTCAAGTATCACTTTCTCCTGGAGGTCTTCTCTAGCCATCCTACTATCCAGCCAAAGAGGCCTTGCCCACAAAATCTTTTTCATCATTCTGTTTCCGGCAAAGCCTTACCACACCTGTGATTACCTTGTTTATTTGTTTCAGTCCGTCTGTTCCATTCGAAGGTAAGCTTTCCAAATGCACGACTCTGGTCCTCCCCTAGTGCCTTAAACGTGGTGAGCCTCGATGGATACTTCCGGAATAAATGACAAGCCAGCGTCTTTCAGATTTTTAGCAGACTCCATACTCCTCCCTCCATCCCGCTCCCCCCTCCGCCCCCCACCTCTCGGGCAAGCGTTCTTCACCAGAAATAATTTTCAGGTCTCGCGTTTTCATTTTTGAGATAAGGCTTTGGCATTTCGACCACACCCACCCTCCCTCGCAAACTCGCTTTCTAACACAGCGCTACTGCAGTCCACTTTCCCACACCCACCAGGCCGCACGGTTTAGAGGCAACCGGGGCAGGGGCAGCCTTAAACCGGCACACTTATCAGTTCACATTACTGGCACCGGTACTGGTTCGGAGAGACAGCGCAGGAACCGTGGGACCTAGACAAGCCACCCCGCCAAGGCCGCCTCAGGCCTCCGCCCCACCGGCAGCCGGGCGCCGCCCTACCGGCAGCCACGCCTCGCCGCCCTCCCTCCGGCTCGCAATGGCGGAACAGGGAGGCACGAGCACGGCCGCTTGGGGAACTTCACCCTGCGGCCCAGGGATCAGCTCGCCGTGTGACAGTCCCGGGTACTTTGCCCAGCGGGGCACGAGCCCTGCCCGCGGTAGCGCCACTCCTGGGCAGTCGCGGCCACAACTGCTTCCGGGTGAGCGGGTCGTCGACCCTGTGGCCCCGCCCATCCTTCGCCTCCTTAGTCGGCCGCTCAGGCTGCGGCTCCTCCCGGGGCCGGTTCCCGCTGTCTCCGCCGCGGCGCCGAAGGCACATCGGCGTGACCGACTAGCCGGCTGCCGGAGTCGAGAGCCGCCGCGCCCATCCCCGCCCGCCTTGCCAGGGACCCGACAGGGAGTCGACCAGCCGCGCCCTTCGCCCCTCGCCCCAACGGGCGCCGGGCGGGCGAGCAGCGCTTCGGCCCTTCCCGGACAGCGACGCAGTCACAGCCGGCGCCCAAACACAGGTACGGGCCGCTCCTGCCGCCGGCCCGATGGGAGCGGGCAGCAGGGAGTTAGGGGCCTCCTTCCCGGCCTCCGCAGTCCCGTGGGATCCGCGCCGCCTCTGGCCTCAGCTAGGGGGCCGGGCTTCCCTGGGGACTGGCCGGCCCCCGGCGGGCTCCCGGGCTGGGGTCGCCCCCTGCCTGCGGCGTTCTCAGGCATCCAGTCTGATTCCTAACGCTCACCCTTCCTCCGCGCTGGGGAAAGGTACGTGTTAGTCCCACTGTCCGAGAAATCAAATTGGGCAGCTGTCCCTCCGTTTCGGGTGCCCAAGGCCCCTTCTCTTCCTCCCCAGACGCCACACTCCGGTTCTGTCCCCGGACGAGCACCCCAGGGAACGGTGTTGGGACGGTGTAGGGCGTAACGTTTTTGGGGGAATTTTACTCCTTCCTCCTTGACCCTAGTTGGAGCGCAGGTTTAACAGGCCCTTGCTGGGTTAATACTTGACTACTATGAGGTGTTATTGACACCTAGATTGTTAAGTTACGGAGCTCCAGTCAGCCCTGCCAGTGAGTTACCAGCAGGATGCAGGAGGACCTAAGGAAACCCACTTTTTCTTTCTTAGAGGGAAAATGTTCAAGTGTTTGCTTTACTTTTTCTACCGTGGGAGATACAAATACAGGCTGCTGAGAGATGGCCAGCTAGATAAATACTGCATCCTAAACTTTAACTGTTACGAGCTGGTTTTCTTTGAGCTTCCATTTAATGATTCACGTTTCTACTATAAACAAAAAAAAATATAGAGTGGGTTGACCGACTAAAAATGATACGTAAGGATAATAGTGGCTCTTAATTTTTTTATGTTGTCGTAATGGGAGGAGAATGTGGGTGCAGCCATGAAACGAGAGAGGGAGAGCAGGGTATGGGTGGATAAGTTCTTAATCAGTGTTTAAAATAGTGTTTTTTCAAGATAACATTTTAATTTGGGGATAAATCTGCGTGAAAAAGTGCAATTATTGGAGAATGCTGTGTTGCAAATAGAGTTAGTTGGCAGGGACTCCAAGGTTGTTGTGGTTTGAATATCTCGCAGTACTAACCCTGTTTAACCAACATCATGCTCTGTTTAACAGATACAGAGATAATGACCTAGTATTACACTCATGTATAATAAGAATTTCGGAAAGTGTGATTCATTTCGAAGTTAGTTCACTCTGGGAATCATTGCTATGAATCTAAAAAGTGAAATAGAGAAAAGCTAAGTTCGTGTCTGCCTAATGAGCTGGTGTTCTTTACTCATTTTATAGGAAATGTGGTGTTATGTTTTGTCAGGTCTGTTGCTTCATATTTATCATCATTAAGAATGGTGATGAAATAAAAGTTGAAGTATTTGCAGAATGCTCGAGTTTAGAATAGTATATTAGTTTTTAAGTGATTGCTGTGGTTTTACCGCCCCCTCCCACTTTTTTTTTTTTTTTTTTGCCAGATGTGGGAAGATAAATGAAGGGGTCTAGAAGTAAATGTCAGTGGAAAGGAGAGCTACCATCACTAAGGTAAGAAAATGTTCGCTGAAAGAATTTGCACAATGCAACATATTTTGAGTGGAAAGCATCACCTATTTTTGTGATTCTGTCTTTTAAAATGTAGAATGAAACTATGCTGAGTTCTTATTTGACTTCTGTTCTAGAAGAAAGTGTGTATTGAAGTTGTGATTGGAATGAATTCACTTTAAACTAGAAATAACTTTTTATTGCTGAAATGTAATTTGATCATTTTTCACTTAAAAAATGTTAGGTAAAATAAGGTTGAAATCAGAGAATTATCTTGATACCCTTAGCCTTGTTTTTTCTTTTCCTTCTGTTGGAGTTCACCTGCTTTTCACCTTGATTTTCCTTTGTAAAGAACGTTAGCTAGTGATAAAGTAATGCCAAGTCGGTCCTGTCGATCCAGCTTACTAAATTCCTTTACTTCTTTCACTAAATTTTGCTGTCTTTTTTTACTTTGACTATCCAGTATATTCAGAGTGTTTCCTAATGTTGCTTTTGACCTTTGTCCAGCTAATAGTGACTTAAGAGTTTCAGTTCCCTGTGAACAGAGATTCCCTTTTGGAAAATCCCTTGTGGAAATTACCATAACCGACAGTCTTTATAGGTAAATATGCAAGGGAAACCTTCCCACGTCAGGATTTAAGTATCTCCATAACGAAAGGGAAAGGTGATGTGGAGAATATATTTGGCAAAGTGTCTCTGCCTCTCAAAATAAAAGCAAGTCTTTATTAGAAATTAATTTAGCAAGAGGGAGGGAACAATTTCTTGCAGAACTCTGTGGATTGTTTACCCTGTTCCTAGTGTGAGAAGGAAGTGTTGATCATATATAGAAAAAAATAATTCCTGCAGTGTCCTGGGAATGTTGATGAGGATCATTCAAAAGAAAAGAAAATTCTTCTGTCTTTATCTTAGGATCGTTATCCATTGCACCTGCAAAATAGAGGCTGTTTGTTAGCTTTTTACTTTTAAGTAGTTGCTTTCTATCTGGAAAATCTAAATGGAGAGATGGTCCCTTACTCAGGAAAGTGTATTACTTTATCCAGTTTGCAAATAAAGAATAGAATCTATGATCATCATTTATACCCCAACTTTTGAAGGCCAAGGCAGAAGGAATGCTTGAGCTCAGGAGTTCAAGACCAGCCTGAGCAGCATAGTGAGACCTTGTCTCTACAAAAAACAATTAGCTGGTGGTCTGCTCCTGCAGTCCCAGCTGCTTGTGAGGCTGAGGTGGGAAGATCACTTGAGCTTGGGTAGTTGAGGCTGCTGTGAGCCCTGAAAGCACCACTGCACTCCAGCCTGGGAGACAGTACGAATAAAATTAACCTGTCTCAAAAATAAATAAAACTCAACTTTTAAAACTTCAGAAGGAGGGAGTTGAGCAAAACTTACCTTATGAACTTTTTGGCTTATGATAAATTATTCTAGACTTCAAAGGAGCCAAACACTGGGCTAAAAACTGGGTTGATCATATGCTATACCTTTTTATTTGTTCCATTGTTTATTTCTATGGGGAGGTCAAGAAATAATTCCATTTCATAGGGAACATATGTATCCATTTGTTTTAGCATAGTGGTAGGGAGAACAGTAGATAAAAGTAGAGATGATTAAGGAGGGGAAGAAATGGCATTATAGAGGGAGAATGCTTACTTCATAGGGTCAGTAGATGTTTTTGGGACTTTTAAAAATTGATAAAACATTTAAAAATGTGGTATATGATGAAAAGAAAATCTGCTTTCCACCACAAACTCTCACCCTTTCCTTGCCCCCACCCCCAATCCAAGCAACCAGTGTTAATGGTTTCTTGTGTATCTCTTTTCAGATTTCTATCATATATACAGTCACATATGTTTAGGAGAAATATACTGTGTCTTTCATTCTTTGCCATATGATGATCTTTCTATATTTAGCACATATTTCTATCTCACTTTTTTTTTTAAAAGACTGCAAGTCTTGCCTAGTATAGATGAACCATAATTTATTCTTTTTCCGTTATTTATTTTACCGTTTTCTATTGACAGACATTTAGGTTGGTTTTAGCCTTCTACAAACACTGCTATAATGAACAATTTGTATATAAGTCTTTGCGCTAGTTAATAATGTATATAGAATGTATTTTCAAAGTGTGACTAAGATTGGGACTGAAGCTATAAAAAGCTCTCAATCCTATATTGGACTTTATTTATAATGGAATTTAACTTATTTCTTGGGCTTGTGGAAGGGGAAAGGAGCTCTTAATGACTATGTGTTCTTTATGTATCTCTCCATTAAAACATATTGCAAATGTATTTTATAAGGTACTTAAAAACATTTGAGTGTCAGGTGGTTAATTTTATTCGTACTGGTAAAAGTAGAACTATTGTGGTTTGAAGACTGGTGCTGTCATATAGAAAGCATTTCTATTTAGTAATAGTTTTATAGTAGGTTGATTGTTTCAGAATTTTATGACCAGTATCAATTAAAAGCATTGTGTATAGTTTAACTTCCTGCCCCATATAAGTTGGCTACTATGTTATTAGTCAGGAAAGAAGTAAATAATCTACCTTCTCTCTTCTTTTATGTTCCACCTCCTACTCTATTTGTAATAAAATAAACCCTCTGTGGAGTTTGAGATCCAAAAATCCTTTTGCAAACCAGGGTGCTATTGATGGATTACTTTCTCAAGACAGGAAGTAGGTACAGATTCAATCTTTATTCTGCAAAGTGTTTCTGAACAGAATAAAGGAGGCTTAAGTTTTATGTTTTGATGTTATACAGGTTACTTGTGGCCAGGAGGAGGTTCAGGATTCTTTTCCTTTTTGAAATGAGAGACAAAGAGAAAAAAAATTACAAGCTGAAGGACTACAGCTTGATGTAGTCAGAGCCTGTGAGTGGCAGCTTCCCTGGCTTGTACCCAGGGTTTATTTTGAGACCTTGTCAAAGCTTGCCTGACAGAACCTACCACATAACCATAATCTAGCCTGGTCTTCTGCACGTCAGGAAGGCCTGTGGTTTAGGATCAGTGGCAACCACAGAAGGGGGAGTTATAAAGGGCATTTTGCATTCAGAAGATTAAGGCTAAGTTTTGGGGTGAACATCTACTTAGCCTGTGTATCCTGTGATCCAAGTTTTTTGCTGCCATCTCCTCCTCCCCTGCTTTTTTTTTTAGACGGAGTTTCGCTCTTGTTACCCAGGCTGGAGTGCAATGGCACAATCTCGGCTCACCGCAACCTCCGCCTCCTGGGTTCAGGCAATTCTCCTGCCTCAGCCTCCTGAGTAGCTGGGATTACAGACACGTGCCACCATGCCCAGCTTATTTTTTTTGTATTTTTAGTAATGACGGGGTTTCACCGTGTTGACCAAGATGGTCTCGATCTCTTGACCTCGTGATCCACCCGCCTCGGCCTCCCAAAGTGCTGGGATTACAGGCGTGAGCCATTGCGCCCTGCCTTGCTTCTTCCTCTTATTGAGGAAAACTAAGGAGTGAAGGTTTTTTTTTTTTTTTTTTTTTTTTTTTGAGATAGGTCTTACTCTGATGCCAAGGCTGGAGTGTAGTGGTAGATCACAGCTCACTGAATTTTTGACTTCCTGGGATCGGGTAATTCTCCCACCTCAGCCTGCCAAGTAGCTGGAGCTATATGTATGCACTACCACACAGGGCCCAAGTTTTGTCTTTTTTGTAGAGATGGAGTATCCCCATGTTGCCCACATTGGTCTTAAACTCCTGAGCTCACGTCGTCCTCCCACCTTGGCCTCCCAAAGTGCTGAGATTACAAGCATGAGCCACTGCGCCTGGCCAGGAGGAAAGTTTTTGGAAAAATAATCCACAAGAAAGCTTTTAGAAAATGTGCCAGCATTGATGTTATCTTCTGGTTATATGAGAGTGTTTGCCAAGAATCAGTCAAATGTTTTACAACAGGGAAAAGGCATTATTGTTACTGGCATATGGAGGCCCACAGTAAAATAGCAGTCCAGTTCAGAGCCCTTCATACTTGCCATTAGGGTCAAAAGGACTCTTGGAATAATGGACTATTTTACAGGATGATTTTGAGTTCAGATACATTAACTTCTTCCCAAGTTGTCATTCTGTTTTTCCTGTGGTTATAGAGTATCATGAAGTCACGTCTTTAAACTCTTGGTTATTACCAGGTGCTCTCTCCTAGCATAGTTACCTCCTTGTATTATGTGGTGTCTTACGAAAACCTTGGTGTTTTTTATTCTTAGTGAGCGAAACACTTGAGTTTAAAGTTCTTTAACTGATGTCACTTCTTAGGCTAGAAAGGTGATAAAAACTTAGTGTTCCACCCTTTGACCAAGGTTCATGTCACCATGTTCAGCTGTAGCTTTGTATTACAGTCAACATCATTTGGAGAATCTGGCATACAAATCTAATTTACAATTGCAAGCCCAGCTCGTTCTCTCCGGCCCCCACTTTTTTGTTTAGATTAGGCTGTGACTGCAGGAAATTTAGTTTTCCTTTGCCCTCAGTAATTGGGGTTGTTCACATTTATGATGATGAGGATGATGTATATTCAGTATGAGGAGAAAAAATAAACTCGTATTTTTGTTTTTTCTTATCAGTTTATTCCCATTATCTTATTTTCCCTTCTCTGCCTCAGCCTTCCTTTCCTCCCCGGGGGGGGGAAAAAAAAGAAAAAAGCAAAAGAAAATAAATAAAGAACAGCAGAGAAAGAGAGAGTGGTAAAGAACTGGGAAAAGCCTTGGAATACGTATCAGGATGCTTTCTCCCAAGTGGAATATTAAAATCTTTGTTAAAGAATCATGGATTATCTTTTTCCGTTGTTTTCATTTTGAACCCTGTATATCTTAATGTTCTTTCATTACGAACACCACATTTCTAACTAGTTTTGGTATAACAGCTATCTTTACTGCTTTACGGAAGCAAATTAATTTTTGTTACGGTTCTAACCGTGTTGCTGTTCCTTATATGCCCACTTTCCTAAGTAGAAATATATTAACAGCTAGGAGCAATCTTTTGGTTTTCTGTTTTGTAAGTTAGAGTATACTGT